TAGATGTATTGATGGAGGTGTAGATGTATTGATGGAGGTGTAGATGTATGTAATGTAGTGATAGCGTGAGTGAGAGTTATCCTGGATGTAAAGGTGAGTCTATGTTCCTCTGAAGTGTTGACTTAAGAGAAGAAACAGAATGAAATGACAGAACAATAGATTTGAGCACAAAGAGAGAGAGAGGCTGCTGTTCCCTTAAATAACTGCATTGTCAGCGTCTCTTTGTTGCCTGTTGTCCTCACATGAATCACCGTGTGGCCCCTGAGGGGTCAACAGTGGGAGGGGACGCTTAACTACAGCTCTCACTGAGCTCTCCACTCGCTAACTGAGTTCATTCACTCACGTTTACTCTCTAACTGCTCTCACTTCTGTTTGTATTTACATATCTGATCATCAATAGAGTCTATTATCTTAGATATAAACTTTAAAGTGAACAAACACTCTTTGCACATTATTTAAGGGAATCATTTGCAGCATTTTAACCTTTAATTGCTGTTAAAAACGTAGAATACACGCTAACATCTTAACATGTTGTGTGTTGTAGTTTAAATCTTCCTACAGTTGGCAACAGAAGCTAAGTTGCTAACGCCCTGTTTGCTAATTTAGCTAAATGTAGTGTTTGTGCTAATAAAAGCTACATTAGCAAACTAGCTTTAAAAGAACAAAAAACAACTTTATCAGAATATACTGTTAGAAAGCCTTCAAAGCTAACGTTAATCTTCAAGTCACTAGATGCTAGCGGCTAAAAGTAACTACATGCTAACGGCTAAAAGTAACTACATGCTAACGGCTAAAAGTAACTACATGCTAACGGCTAACAAACTCCCTGTTTGCTAATTGTGCTAAGCTAGCTAGCTAAATTATTCCCAGTAGAACATATTGTTAAAATTATGTTCATTATTATTATTAAATAAACATATTTTTAGGAGTAACTTTTTCAGGAATATATTTAAAAAAATGATTACGAGTAATTATAATAAAATGATATAATATATAATATTCTGAATTATTTTTTACTTTTGGTACTTTAAATATATTTAGAAGTTTTGAATGCAGGACATGTACTAGTAACAGAGTATTTCTACATCGTGGTACGAGTACTTTTAGTAGTAAATGTACACATTCTTTGAGGCTGCTAAATGCT